GCCGCCGTAGCCGCTGCTGTGGCCTCTACAGCCGCTGCACATGAGGTTGGCCGCCGGAGAGAGGTGAGACTGACTGGGTGGGGTAGGGTGGGATGTAAGGGGAGTAAATTCAGGTAAGGGCATGGCCAGACCTGGAACAGGGTGAACCAGGAAGAGCAAGCTATAAGTGTGACCCACGGATGGGGCTGGAAATGGTTGAAGGTATGGCCAAATAGGATAGGGAAGAAGGGTGTGTCTGCTGCTTGTGACCAAGGCTATGGGGCTGACCAACCTGGGCCCACCAGTAAGTGAAGTTAACCAGGGATGGGTGGGGCCAGGTAAGTGGAGAGAGGCAGGGTTGGGATTATGGAGTGGAGTTAGGGAGGGGTAGAACCAGGTCAAACTAAGTAGCGAGGGGCAGGATCCACTGTGACAAGCCAACCTCAGGCAGGGACTAGCTTCGTGGTAGGTGTGGCCATGTGGGGCAGGGGGCGGGATCCACCCCCTAAGCAAAGGGGTGGGTAGACTGAGGGACTGAGGCCAACTGGACTGAGGTGAGGGTGGGGGCTGATGGTTGGGTGAGTGCGCAGCCTGAGTGCCTCTGGACCCAGTCAGAGAGGGGTTGCGTTGTCAGCTTTGACCAGAGGGCCAGGTGGCAAGTGGCCAGACAGGCCTTCCTAGCTTTGCCTTTCCTGCAGGGTCCCCCAGTCAGGGTCTGCTCTGCTGACCGCGGAGATGACGCCCTGGCGCTCCCACCATACACAATGCTTGAGTTTGCCCAGAAGTACTTTCGAGACCCTCAGAGGAGACCCCAGTGAGTGGCAGCCCCACCTCTGTTTCCCACACTGGAAAGGATCTTCGGGGCTGCTTGCAACCTTCAAGCTGCAGGCTGTTGGCCTAGAGGCCTCAGTTCTAGTGGGAGGGATGAGGGACCACCCAGGTGAGGCTCACCTTCAGTCTGACTCTGGGGGCCTTCCTGCCTGGTAGACTGATCAGAGTGATGGGTCAAGAGCATTCCCATGTGGGAAAAGGGTGTAGCCAAAGGCTCAGAGGCCAGACAGATCATTGGTGCCCACCTCCTGTTGCAGGGATGGCCTCAGGCTGAAATCCAAGGAGGGTCAGGAGTCCAGAACTTTGGAGGACATGCTTTGCTTCACCAAGGTGTCCAGTCCCGGGCCTCAGTTTCCCCCATCTGTAAAATGGTGATGCATGAGTCCCCTCCCAGGCTCTGGGGCAAACAAGCTTGTCCTCAGTGAGACCCTCCAGCTCTCGGCACCCTGAGAAGCCTGGATTCTTCCCTGGGACAGCATCTGTGCCCAGTGTCAGGCCTCGTTCCCCCTTTGTGACGACTCTCCTGTCATCATACAGCCTTGAAAACTCAATGTGGCCTCCTCCTGTTCTGAGATGTGCCTCCCGCCTTATGACACAGCTTCCCCTCCCTCACAGATCCCGCTCCAGGAATCCCTCATTGAACTCAGCGACAGCAGCCTCAACAAGATGGCCACTGACATGTTCCTAGGTTTGGGGGTGGGACTATAGCCAGGGTCCTGGGCCAGGTGGGATCCAGCATTGTGGGACCCCTGCTTGTCACCACTCATCTCTGGCCCTCAGATTCTTCCCCACCAGCTCAGACATGGGACACATTTAAGAGAAGAGAAGTCCCCAGCTGCCTGTGGTCAAGGCTCCCAGGGAGGGGCTCAGTCCTAGGGATTCCTAGGGTGGGTTGGCAGCTGGGGATTTGGTGGGCCTGAATGGGAGCGGTCTTTCCTACAGCTGTGATGAGGTTCATGGGGGATGCCCCAATGAAGGGCCAGAGTGAACTGGATGTGCTTTGCACCCTCCTGAAGGTCAGTCCAGCCACCTTTGCCAGATGCTCTCTTTCCTGTTCTGTGGCTCAGTTTCCCGATCTGTCAGCCAGAGTTGCAAGACACTGGGTTGGGAAGTCTCTCCTATGGCTTAAAAAGGAATGCATTCCACTGGGAGGAGGAGGCTTGGGAAGGGACACCAGGTCTATCTCCAAGCACCCACCCTGTTCTTACGTACCTAGTATGTGGCGTGGTACCTGGCTTATCTTTGGTGTGTGACTTCCCTGCCCTTCTTCAGTTGTGTGGGGACCACGAAGTAATGCGGGATGAGTGTTACTGCCAAGTTGTGAAGCAGATCACAGACAACACCAGCTCCAAGCAGTGAGTGAACTTGTTACCCTCAGTCTCCTGTCCCCAACCTCCCACTGTGTCTATGCTCCAGGAGAGGCCAATTCAGCCTCTCCCCTCCTCAGACTCACCCCCTCTCGATTTTCTCTCCTTTTCTCTCTTCCTCTCTTAACAGACAGAGCACATGTTTTTGGAAGTGCTTGGCCCAGGACATGCCATTTCTGCTCTTGGTTACAACTCAAGATGATTTAAGCAAAAGAGCAACATTATTGGCTCAGGGAACTGAAAAGTCAATGAGTATATGGCTTCAGTCATAGCCAGATCCTGGTGCCATTGGGAAGCAGGCTTTCTCCATCTTCTAGCCCTGCTTTCCTCTGTGTTGATGTTATTCCCAGGGAGTCTCTCCCACAGGCTAGCAAGGTGACAGCTCTGGGGAGACATTTCCAGTTTAGCAATCCCAGGAAAAGCAAGACCCAGCATTTGCACACACAAAAATTTTCCAAAGCCAACTTTATTGGCCTGAGTTGGTCACATGCTCAACTCTGAACCAACCACAATGTGTGCAGAGTGCTGATTGGTTAGAACTGGGTCACATGTGTGTCTCCAAACCAATTACCATAGCCAGAGGGAGTCTGAATTCTAAACTCTAATTGGCCAATCCTGGATCATATGCCTCTCCCTAAGCCAATCACTGTAGCCAGGGAGGTGCAGTGTTGTATTAGGCCAGATCTGACTCCCATGCCCATCTCCCAACCACAGGGATCCAGAGAGGGGTGGGTAGTTTTCCAAAGGAGGCCTAAGTGCATACCAGAGGTCCCCACAAACAAAGCTCTCAGACCTAGGGCAGTATGAAGATGAATTACTGTATTTTGCTCACACAGGGCCAGCACACAGTGTGTGTGCTGCTCTTGTTACCCTCGGTCTCCTGTCCCCATCTGTTCTACCTCCTTTGCTTGTTCTTCATCTCTCAGGAATTTTAGAGCCACTCAACATATCCTCCTTCTCCTCCCAGCCCCAGACCTTAGCTGCCACAACTTCTGCACAGCCTCAGCGGGTTCCTCTTTGCCCAGAAGCCTCCTCAGAGAGGTCCTCTACCCAGGGAAGATGTCTAGGGCCTCATCCCCTTCCTTTCCCATATGCCACTCTGACTCCCCAAGCAGAATATACCTTCTACATTGCTCTGGGGCCCACCCAGCCTGCTCTCCCTGGGCAGGGAGGAGCATCCTCAGGGGACAGGAGCTGCCTGAGAGCCGGAAGCCTCCACCCAATCTCAGGAGATCCCTGCCTGACATCCACTCTAGTGCTGTGGCCACATGTGACGTGGCTCCCTGTGTGTGTCCTTGTAGGGACAGCTGCCAGCGAGGTTGGAGGCTGCTGTACATCGTGGCGGCCTACCACAGCTGCTCGGAGGTCCTCCTCCCACACCTCACTCGCTTCCTCCAAGATGTGAGCCGGACTCCAGGCCTGCCCTTCCAGGGTGAGGTGCCAGTGAGGGACCTAGGGCTGCATGTCTCTTGCCTGAGGACTGGGCAGGCAGCCGGTGAGGGGGAAACCCAGAGGACTTGGCCCTTCACAGATGCCAGGCAGTGTTTACTCTTAGTAGTTTACTCCCCAAATGCTTGCGGAGTTGCCACAAGTACTAGTGCAATAGATGATCTGACCTAACGAGGAAGGGGGGATGGTCAGGGAATGCATCCCGGAGGGAGTTTTGTGCTAGGTGGGAGGGGTTTAGGGATGGGAATATGTGGCACATGAGAGAGGACGAGAAGGAGGTGGGCAAGAACCTGGAGTACCAGGGTGAGGACCGGCTTCTCTAGCTGTTGGTACTTGGCAAGGGTGTTGAGTGGAGCCAGGCAGGGGCAGGCCCAGAGCTGGTGGCTGGGTCTTGGTCTTTCCTTCTTGGAGTGTGAGGAAGGGACCTTTTCTCAGCCTTGTTTCCATAGCAACCCCCTCGGCTCCCGAAGAAAGGCTAGGGCCCCTTTAGTCACCATGGCAGCCGTGAAGGAGATAGGGGACTTCACCTTCCCTGCCTCTGGATCTTTCTCTCTGATTCAGTTAGCAAACATCCCCAGACCCAAAGAGTAATAGCTCCAGCTCCCTGAGGAAGGGTCTTCAGATATGTGAAGGCATCTAGAACTCCTGACCCAGAGAAATGGAGCACTGATACTATGATCTTCTGCACTGGGTGGCCTGGGTAAGGGAGGGTGGTTGGCGAGGGGTCCCACTGGCAGGGGCAGACCTACGTCACCCTAGCCACGGAGCCTCTTTGGGGTGAGCTCCCCAATCAACAGCACAGAGTGATAACTGTTTTCAGGCTTATAAGTGACCACAGAACCTGTAGGCTTGACTAAAGGCTCTTAGCCACACGGGATATGGCTTCAAATCTAGCTCTTAAACTCTAACTGTTCACCTTGTGCAAATCACTGCCTTTCTGAATTCAGTTTCCTTAACTATCAAATGGGGGAATAAATGCCCACCCCACAGTGTGTGAAGAGAATACAGTGGGCTTATGGCTGGTGGCAAGAGGAGCCCCTTTCTCCCACTACCCACCTTGGGCAAGGCCTTGACTACCTGCCTCTGCAGGGATCGCCAAGGCCTGTGAGCAGAACTTGCAGAAAACCTCACGCTTTGGGGGCCGCCTGGAGTTCCCCAGCAGCATGGAACTTCGGGCCATGTTGGTAAGTGTGGGACAGTATGAATTGGAGACTCGAGCCCTGCCCAGAGACCCCTCTGTCTGGTGCATATGCACTCAGGGGTGTGCAGATGGACCCTGTAAGGTCTGGGTGCACATGTGTTCTGACATGTGCATGCCCAGGACTGCTTTGTCTGGGGCCTCCAGTGGCAGGAGACAAGGGCTGCCTTGGATCTCAAGACCCAGCCTCTTGTCCTTCTCCTGCCTACCCATCCTCAGGCAGGTCGCAGTTCCAAAAGGCAGCTCTTTCTTCTTCCTGGAGGCCTTGAAAGGCATCTCAAAATCAAAACATGCACCGTAAGTGAGGGAATGTCTTCTGCAAGCAGGTGCTGGAGAGACTGGGACACCCTAGTCTCCAGGGTGGAGGTGGGGGAGCCCCCAAGGATGTGAGCTCCTTTCAGGTTCTCCTGCAGCCCCATAAAGCAAGATTTATTTCTCAGAAAAGCAAACTGAGCCTCAGAGAGGTTAAGCCTCCAGCTCGGGGTCACACTGCAGATAATAAGGGACAAAGGCAGGACTCGAACTTGTCTTAGACTCCAAAAGCTGTGTTCTTGCCCTTCCTGATGCTGATGCTCAGAGATCTCAGAGGACTTTGTAGAGGGCTGAGGGCACTCTGCATTTGACCTCTGTAGAGGGCTGAGGGCACTCTGCATTTGACCTCCTGGGGCCTGGGTAAGGCTGGGAAAACTGAGGCCAGGCCCAGCTGGCTCAGCCTCACCCTTGCACCCCATCTCCCAGGTGGCCCTGGATGTGGTAGAAGAGATCTGTGCTGAGATGGCTCTCACACGCCCGGAGGCCTTTGATGAATATGTTATCTTCGTTGTCACCAACCGTGGTAAGTGACCAGGAGGACTGAGCATGAGGGGCTCACTCCCAGCACTGGGTCTTTGGCCATGTGGGACGTTCCACCTAGACTTTGAGGCCCAGATCAGGTGCCACTTCCTCCCAGAAGTGCCCCCCGCTTTTTCTGGACTTATCTATCAGGAACTCCCAGAAGCCCCTGATCCCCATGTGGAAGGACCTCTGTATGTACCAAGTACCCAGCCCTTCCTCTGTCCCTCTCTGCCTTGTTTTTTGGGAGTTTGTCTCAACTGGGAGCTCATGGAAGACAAGGGCCTTCTTTAATTCCTCCCTTTGCCCCTTGGGATCTGCTCAGCGGGAAGAACATAGGCCCTGCCCTCAAGGAGATGACATCCTGGGAAGGTTTCCATTAATAGACTCATGCACCCAAAGGTGCAAGTATTTATTTCTGCTTTTTCTACCTTAATAGTGGCCATAGGCGCCCTCTCCTGAGGACTTACTAGGGCCTTCTCAAGGAGGGGTCCTGTGACTCTAGGGGACCTTCACATTGCCCAAAGCCCCTTCTATCTGCTGCCTCTCACTCTAGACCATGGTCTTGCTTCCTGCCACCAGCTGGTCAGCTCCAACCACCTCAAACTAGCTTTCTCACTTCTGCCGCAGCCCTCAACCATGCGCACTCAGTCCTACCTGCCCAAATCCAGCTACGATCTACTGGGGGGCGGGGGAGAAGGGAAGGG